TGGCTGGTGCTAGCATGCAGGCATCGTGGCTGGTGCTAGCATGCAGGCATCACCGCTGAGGCCAGCACACGAACTCACCCTCTCTAGCATGTTGACGATGTACTTGGTGTCGTTGAAGCTGCCGATCTCCTCGTGACAGCGGCCATACACGATCGCCATCGCCTGCAGACACTGACTCTTCATGCGCACCTTGGGCGTGAGCAGGAACCGGTGATAGAGGTCGTTGAAGAACTCATACCTGCCAACACCACGACACCGCGTTAGACCGAGGCTCTCATTATAACTCTAGCATTAGAATGCTCGCAATGAGAAACCACTCGTTGGTAATACAGAAAACTCTAATACCGTAGATGTACAGTACCTAACGCTATTGCTTTTATTTTGTATAAGTACCTTTGTACAAGTACATTGTACAAGTACATTGCACAAGTACAAGTACAAGACAAGAGCATGTATGTGGCATACAAATTGCCTTCCGGCCGTATGTCACATGAGCATGTTCATTCATTCATTCAGACTGCATTCAAGAGGGAGAAGAGATAGAGAGAGAGAGAGAGAAGATACGACCGTCAAAGATCCATCTCGACATGACATAAACTCGTGAATAAATTCGCACGAAACGTTAACCGACGATTTGAACTCCGTGACGATGCGTGTTCTAACGCGCTCTCTACGATCAAGGGACATACGATCGTTTGATGCTGCTCGTCTCCTCAGTCTCTTCCTCGTCCAGCAGAAGCCGTAGGTAGTAATCGCCTATCTTGATCTCCTCCAACAGACACGTGTACTGCACCTGGAAAGGGAAGGCAGCATTCTCACACAAGCTGCTACAGCTGTACTCGTAAAATTTTTCCCACGTGGTTGGAAATGATATACTAATATATACCGTATTTACTCGTATATAAGTCGCACTTTTCTGTGCACAACTTCAATAAAAAAAAATCAGGGTGCGACATATACACGGGGCTAAGAAATCTTGTTAATGTACCAATGTTTGTACCAACTTTTCAAGGCAAAATATGGGGTGCGACTTATACACAAGTAAATACGGTAGTAATAATAATACTAATATACCAATATATAATAATGATATAATAACAGACTGACAACACATTAAAAAGATCACAGGTTAGACAAAATCGATAGTAAGAACACTAGATACACGCTCCCATAGAGTTAGTATTAGGACCGATTTCAGAAACAAATTACCACGATCGATCTACTCCCAAGTCGACCTGCTGCATTATTTACTGTGTACTACGTTTGTTTTGTGAATAATATTCTCGAATTCTGTCTCAAGACGGGGATGCTGGCAATGCACACGCACCTCAAACTCCGAGTGGTTCCAAGAAATAATGCAGTTTGCACTGAGGTCCTTGTCAGTGTTGAAGGCACGGATCTCGTTCTCCAGAGCATTCTTCAGTTCTTCCCGCGTCTGTGCACACCGCCGCCGCAGCCGCAAAAGCAAACGACAACAGTAAATCACGATCTTATGCAGACCAAACACCTTTACACACAATCATCACTTACCTATAGCAGATTTCTACCTTGACTGAAATGCTAAGCACTTCAATGTAGATGAAAAGATATATATATATTTATCCTTGCAATTTTAAGTAACGTCTAATTTCATTACGCAGTCAGAACTTCTCGTTTACCTTATGGTTCCAGATGAGATTGGGCTTTGCATGGTCCTGGTAAAAGTGATAGTAGAATAGCGGCCAGTTGGCTTCACTCTTGATCCTCTGCCTCCTCTTCCTCAGCACTATAGGCCTCACCTTTTCCAGCATACATTATATAACTACATTAGTAGTACAAGCTATATTGCATCGCAAAACTGTTTTATATGTCGTATATACTGTTTTATTTATATATTATAACTTCTTTATTATAACTGTCTGTATCTTTAACCCGACTTTTGTACAATATGCGATGCATGTTACCTTTACGATATTGTTGACATTGTGTAAAATGAATTGTACAATATATATATGTACTTTTGGAAATAAAGTTCATTATAAACAAGTGCCGCAGAGCGACAGCGCTCATCTAACGTCTACTGCGGTGACTCTGTGGTGGAGTGGTGGGATTCTAGTAACCCTGTTAGTCCCAAATGTGTTCACATACACGGTGCGCCGAAACAGTCGAATGCACAGGGATTGGTAATAGGAACCTTCTCAAAGAATGTTCGTTGGGTATCGTTTGAAAGTTGCCCACGAGATGGCGCGTCACGTTTAAGTGTCTTACAGATAAAGATGGAAGCTCCCATCATAAACGTAGTAGCAACACAACTATCTGCAAGACAGAATAGGTAAGCACTCATCCATTACCCTACGCAAGCCTCGGCTGCAATAGAGAGCTGCCAACCTGTAACCATTAACGGCAGGCAAAAAACTCACAGTACCAACCACACATGCACTGCTAGTGGGCAATACGTTACAATGTAACCATACTGACAGTTTAGATGAATGCCATAGAAAATTATACGATTGAAAGAGGCATATAACCTCTTTAACAAATTTAGAGCTTTTGAAATTTCACTGTGACATTGTTAGCCTCATACATCGCCAGGCATGTAATAGATTCTACTAAGCAAACCGGCAGTCAAATTCTTTCTAACAGACAGTCCCAACAATCCATGTTTAACTTCCTCTTGAGGGGTCAAAAGGTTATCTGACACTTACTCTTCGCAATGTCAAGCGAGAAAGTAGAATTTCATGTCCTTTCAAGTCATAGCCATAAAACAATGCAGGTCACGCTGAACAAAAAGTTTTCAATCGCTATGACGTCAGACCACTGTCCTATAAGAAGTCTAAAATCTGCCCTGTCCCGCATTTGACCTTTGACCTGTGACCTCCAATTCTCGGCAAGCGTGATGGCTTTTCCTACCATGAATGCCTTATAACGCGACTAGTCACGGAGCCTAGTGAGCCGTTTAGATTTTGTGCGCAATCTGCATTTCCTCCCTATACGCTGTAAGGTAAGGAGTGAATGTCCTTCCTTTTACAACCCTCTTGACCTTTGACCTTTGAACGCGCCCAGCTCGACATCCAACTCGTTTTCGGATTAGCCGCCCCACTGTCCGAATATCGTGACGTACTCGAGCGTTAAGATTTGTGCCCAACTGTTTGACGGACGGGACGCACGGGACGCACGCACGATGGACGACAGGAGGCGATTCTCAAAGCTGCATCTGACTATGTCAGATGAGCTAAAAAACCAAAGGGTGTGTTCAGAGGGTGTGATAGTTTTACGCAAGCATTAATCATGCTCCCCCCCCCCCCCCGATGCAGCCTGGTGTGCAACAGACGGCCACGCTAGGCTGTACCGGTGATCGGTGGCGGACTGGCAACAGTGTTTCTGCAGAAGTTGCTGTAAGTGTCCGTGAAATTGGCTGCGTGGCTTGGGGTTGGGGGGGAGGGAAAGATGTTGCTGAATGCGATAGCAGTGATAAAGGTGTTGCAGCTACTTCTAGTGGTTGCGGCGTGGGATATGTAGAGTGGTAGTAGGGGTATGTAGGGTGGTGTTGGTGCCGTGGCTTGTTTCGTAGTTCAGTAGTTGTGAAGTGTGGCTGAGGGTGGTCAGTGGTTGTTGGTATTCACCTGTAAGTTGTCGTGGTTTTGCGTAGTGAGGGGCTGTGGAGGGTGTAATGTGGGTGTGTGGGTGTGTGTGTGGGTGGGTAGCAGTAGTATGGTGGGGTGGGTATGTGGTGTGGTGGGTGTGTGTGTGGTGGTAGCAGTAGTAATGGTGGGGGTGGTATGTGGTGTGGTGGTGTAGTGTGGTGGTAAGCCAGTAGTAATGGTGGGGTGGTATGTGGTGTGGTGGGTGTGTGTGTGGTGGTAGCAGTAGTAATGGTGGGGTGTGTGTGTGGTGGTAGCAGTAGTAATGGTGGGGTGGTATGTGGTGTGGTGGGTGTGTGTGTGGTGGTAGCAGTAGTAATGGTGGGGTGGTATGTGGTGTGGTGGGTGTGTGTGTGGTGGTAGCAATAGTAATGGTGGGGACTGTCAGGTGTGGTAAGTGCAGCAGCAATAATAGTTCGGGCAAAGAAACCATTTACCCGGGTCGCTTGCTGCTCTCACAAGCCAATGCGCGAGATCGCCAGTGCTGCAAGACTTTACCACTTGCTTTCTCTATCTCCTTCCACTCGGATCATAGCTTTTCCTGTTCCTTCGACTGATTGCCTGAAATGCACGAAAAAGAGTCACTTAGCTGCTTTCAGCTCATTTGCATAAGCAAACTGCAAACAAGGTCGCGTCATCCTTTACGGAAACGCTGGTGTTTTATGTTTATAATACTTCCTATGATTATGTTGTTTTACACATTGGAAAACTTGTCAATCTACGCCAGTCGTTCCCAACCTGGGTTCCCTGGACCCATGGGGGTCTGCAAAGCTAGTACTGAAAATTTCAAGAGGCTCCAGCGTAAAATGTATGGTTATTCACGATAAGGCTTCTAAAGATCAAATCAGCTTGTTGAGTAGACAATCTTTCAAATACCTGGGGTCCATGGGCAAATTAATTTAAATAAGAGGTCCTTGGTGGTGAAAAGGTTGGGAACCACTTATCTACGCGTACATGAGAATGACTCGTTAGCCCCTATAACTACTAAGCTATATATATATCAAGAGCTAATAATACCTAGAGTGTACAACGGAAAAACGGGAAAATAGTGCTATTTCACGACAACATTATGTCTACTTGCCTGCGAGTCTGAATCATTTTATGATAATGCATTGCAGCAATTCTTTGCTCTCTAAAACAAGATCAACAGCTTGTCAAACGAATCGTCCTAGCGCCTGAGATATGCGGCTCGCTAAAACCTCCCCTCCCACATGCCTGACGCGCCTCCTACCCCGTTAGTCCATCAACCTACCACGCCCTCTAAGCATTTTGCCTATGCGTTTCGTCACCGGCTTGGAGCGCTGATAATTGATTCACATCCGCAAATTTGGTTACTCTTACTACACGCAATGATAGTCGACGAGGCTGCTTTGTAGACACTTAATTGACGAATAACATTGGCGCTCCATACATGAGGTTGTGTTGAATAAGCTGAATTGCCAGGGCGGCCCGGATGGGAGCGTTGTGCATGGGCAGGGTCCAGTTTTAGAAACCATTTCAACTAGATATCGTATATGACCAAGCGATTGCTCTTGTTTTGGAGAGCCAAGAATTCTGCTTAATGCAATACCATAACAATTAAATTCTAGACTCGCAGGCAAAGTAGCAATATTTCGTGAATCAGCAGCTATTTTCCCTTTTTCCGCTTTTACCTCATACGGAAGTTAGCTCTTGATATTATAATCTAGGATAGTATAGCGGGCTAAACGAGTCTATTCTCATGTACGCGTAGATACAGTGTTCCCCAAACCTTTTCACCACCAAGGACCTCTTATTTAAATTAATTTTCCCATGGACCCCAGGTATTTGAAAGATTGTCTACTCATCACAAGCTGATTTGATCTTAGAACGCGCTTAATCCTGCGAATAATCGCTGACATTCTTACGCTGGGAAGCTCTTTAAATTTTCAGTACTACTTTCCGCAAGCGGCCCATGTCAGGAACCCAGGTTGGGAACGACTGGCGTAGATTGACAAGTTTTCCAATGTGTAAAACAACATAATCATAGGAAGTATTATAAACATAAACACCAGCTTCCTAAAGGATGACGCGACTTGTTCGGCAGTTGCTTATGCAAATGAGCTGAAAGCAGCTAAGTGACTCTTTTTCGTGCATTTCAGGATCAGTCGAAGAACAGGAAAAGCATGATCGAGTGGAAGGAGATAGAGAAGCAAGTGGATAAAGTCTTGCAGCACTGGCGATCGCGCATTGGCTTGGAGAGCAAGCAGGACCCGGTAAATTGTTTTGCCCGAACTATTATTGCTGCTGCACTTACCACACCTGACAGTCCCACGCATTACTATTCGCTACCACACACACACACACCAACCACACCCACAACACGCCCACCATTACCTACTCACCTACCAACCACACACCACCACACCACATATCCACCACCGCACATTACTACTGCACCCACCACACACACACCCGCCCACCATTATATCTCGCTTTTAACACCACACACGACACCGCCACCACACCAGATACACCCACCCCCGATCATTACTACTCCTACACCAGCGCACACACACCCACCACACCACATACCACCCCACCATTACTACTGCTAGCCACACGACACACACCCACCACACCACAATACCCCACCATTCACACTGGCTACCGACCACACACATCACCAACGACACACGCATACACCCCCACACCCCGCCACTACAGCCCACGAGAACTCCAGTGAAACTACAACCACTGACCACCTCAGCCACCACTACTACACTAAACTACTAATACTACAGCCACGGCCACCAACACAAACCCACATACCCCCTACCACCACCCTACATACCCCACGCCGCCAACACCATAGAAGCTAGCTGCAACACCTTTATCACTCCCGCGCTCGCTATCGCATCAGCAACATCTTCCCCTCCCCCCAACCGCCCAACCATCGCTGCCGCTGCCACGACCACCACAGCAACTTCTGCAGAAACACTGTTGCAGTCGCCACCATCACCCGGTACAGCTGGGGGTCTGTTGCACGAACCCAGCTGCATCGGGGCGGGGGAGCAATGATTAATGCTGCGTGAAACTATCAACACCCCTCTGAACACACCCTTTGTTTTTTAGGCTCATCTCGAACATAGTCAGATGCAGTTGTAGATC